TTGGCAGCCTGGTTATAAATAAATAGCTTATCTGTCCCCTTACCTGGATTTGTAAACTATAAGATGTAATAAAGTTTTTACTATGACATTATATTAATAATAAATATATATATATATATATTACACCAATTCACTATAATTTTCTAATTCTAACCTAATGATATATAATACCGAAATAAATATTAAATATAGAAGTATTTTATACCTATACTATACAGATTTGGTTATACTAAACTGCATAATTAGAAATGCTCTTAGCAGATGATAATTATACAGACTAATATGAATAAGTTTTAAATAATACAGTATATTGCTTTAAAATTATTATTACTGTATCTATGTAATAATATTTATACAAAGCTACTGCAGTACTATATTGGTACAGTAATCTACTACAGTTTGAGTCAAGTTACAAGTTATGCTCTAGCCATGATACAAGTTGTGGCTTCAATAACTATAGCTTAATCTGGATCTGACTTTAAAAAGCCTAGCTAAAACCAGCTTCAGAATAAGTTACTAATGCTAATAGCTATGAAGACTATTCAAAAACAGTTGACAGTACATCTATATTTGGTTAGTTCAATTCTAAAATACAATAACAAAATAAGAGGATTAATTTTCATACCCCCCACATTTAATATTCATACTCTTCTACAGAATTTAACTTTTTTTAAAAATTTGAGTGAAGATATCTTAGTAACTACCGAATTAAATTTAATAAACATTTTTTCTTTAAATTCTATAGATTCATAGAATTCAAATAAAAAAAGTTTATTGAATTTGGCCCAGTAGTTTCTAAGATATCTTTGCTCAAATTTTGAAAAAAATCAAATCGTTTATCAAAATGTTTATCAAAACAAACTACAAACTTTTTTTTAAACTTTGAGTGAAGATATCTCTGCAACTACTAAGCCAAATTCAATGAACTTTATTTTGTTTGAATTCTATTATTCTATAGAATTAAAATAAAAAAAATTCATAAAATTTAACTTAATAGTTATAGAGTTATCTTCACTCAAAGATTAAGAAAAATCCAAAACGTCTATCAAAACAGTAGCTGCGCCAAACTTTTTTCCAAACTTTAAGCAAAGATATCTTAGCAACCACTAAGCCAAATTTGATAAACTTTTTTTTATTTAAATTCTACGAATTCATAGAATTCAAACAAAAAAAAATTTATCAAATTTGGCTTGGTGATCGCTACGATATTTTTGCTTAAAGTTAGGAAAAAAGTTTGGTGCAGCAATTGTTTTGATAGACGTTTTGGATTTTTCTTAAACTTTGAGTGAAGATAATTCTATAACTAATAAGTTAAATTCTATGAATTTTTTTTATTTTAATTCTATAGAATCATAAAATTCAAACAAAAAAAAGTTCATTGAATTTGGCTTAGTAGTTGCAGAGATATCTTTGCTCAAAATTTAAAAAAAGTTTGTAGTTTGTTTTGATAAACATATTGATAGATGGTTTGATTTTTTTCAAACTTTGAGCAAAGATATCTTAGCAACTACTGGGCCAAATTTAATAAACTTTTTTTTATTTGAATTCTATGAATCTATAGAATTTTAAAAAAAAAGTTTATTAAATTTAATTTGGTAGTTACTAAGATATTTGTACTTCAATTTAAAAAAAGTTAAATCTGCAGGGGGTATGAAAATTAATCCCCTAAAATAAAAACATTGATCTTCATTCACTCTAATTGAGACAAAAACCTGTTGAATGTTAAACAATCTCATACTATATATATAAATATACAGTGTAACTTCTCTAAGTGCACGCCCTTGGGACCAGGCTATAGCATACACTTAGAGAGTGTGTGTATTTATAAAATTAGTATTTTTTTCTACTCTACTACAACAATTAACAGTATTCCAAGTTTTTCCAATAATCATGCTCATTTTTTATGTTTATTTATTATCTACCTCTCTGAGAATATCCGACAAAACTACCATTGCAATTGGTAAAACATTTATATTGATCACGTGCATGTATTTATAGAGGGTGCACATATAGGTCCAGGCTGTAAAAACCTATGCACATGCAGAGGTTGGAGGGTGCACTTAGCATCAAGTCCCAAGCTTGGGATTAGGCTATAGTGTGCACTTAAAGAGGGTGTGCATTTAGGGAGGATGCACTTAGGGAGGTTTCACTGTAGTGTAATTTATGAAGTTTAAGTACAGAATTTCATGTTTCATTGTATTTATACATTGTTTAATCAGTTACAAAATTTTGCAGACACATATCACTAAAAATGCTATAGAAAACTATATACTTCATAATATTAGATATCACTTTGTTCCTGGTATATATTTCACTTGTTTTGATACTTGGGTATAGTACTAGTTAATACAATTTATATTAATATTTAAAATTTATTACAATATACTATCTCAGCTTATTTCAACTTTTTTTTTTTCTAGATTACTTTTTTTTTGTTTTTGATACTAATAGTATTTCAAATTATTTTATCGATAGACAATTTTACTAACATTATGCAGTATATTTACACTAGCAAGTTGACAATCCAGTTAAGTCTAGAAACACAGCTATTGATTCTAATCAGGCAAGCAGATAAGCTACTCTTACTTGAATTGGCATATAAAGATAAATAAATAATGATTTTAATTAGTTGCTTATTTAGAATTATTAATAATTGTTTATTGTTATTGTTATGATCTAATATAAAAAGAAGTATGGTATAGACAATTCTGCAAGAACCAAGTTTTACACTGTATTCTTTCAACTTATAATGTGTATAATGCTTTTTGATTGCATATTTGTATTACAAAATAATTACTAAAGTTCTAAATGAAATTCTAATCAATTAAGCTTACATAAAGTAGATTTAAAGTAACACTACATATAGTTTAAACTGTTATATATATTTATCTGTACATATATAGAAATCCCAAGTACTTCTATACAATGTTTAGAACCTAGAGATAATTAAGCCACTAAATTTTGGCAGGTAAAAATAATATACTATAATTATTTTACTGTTAAACAGCTTATTGATATTACACAGCATAACAACTATAATTAAGATATTAATATATATGTTGTGCTTCAGATCGATTCTTGCGTCAGATCTAAACTGACGCATGTCAGATACTGATTTCAAAGTGATGCACATCACCTGATGATTACTCATCTGACATGCGTCAGTTGTAATCTGAGACACGTAGGTTGTAAACTGACACACTATTAATATCATATGTTTAATTATTAAAATTTTTATTAAATAATTTAATTTTTTATAAAAAAATACAAGTGGAACAATAAATCATAACAATTAACGAATTGCACTACCCGCTATATATCATTAAAAATGAAATCGAAATGCACTACTACATATTAACTAAAAACACAATAGAAGTGTAATGAACTATGAAATTATACAAATTCCCATCAACATAAAAATCCACACACCAAACCCGAACAGATAAACACAAGAAATAAGCACCAATGAATAGTAACAACTCAAAAATAAAAAATTGTATTATTGAATCCAATATGACGACACTAATGATTCCAATTATGGCGAAAACTTTAGCGACGAAATCACACCTGAAAAAGAAACATAAGTAAATACAAAAAAAAAAGCAGCGTAATGATACGCAAGAGCCGACTCCAACGACAACGACGATGACTCCAATGGAGAAAATATATTAGCAAAGAGGAAGCGACAGTAAATACAGAAAAAAGCAACGTAATGACACACAAACTATAAATTTAAATGATGACAGTTCAAAAACTTCAAAAACAACAATTCTAACAATAAAATAATACCTGAAAAGAAACGTATAGCATAAAAAAAAAAAACTGAAAAAAACAACATAATGACACAAGCGATAAACTTACCAACTTTAACGATGACAGCTTTAAAGTGACAAAATCACACCCAAAAAGAAGCATTAGTATACACTGAAAAAAAAATAAAAGAACACAAATTAACGATATAAGCGATAAACTTACTAAATTTAATAACGACAGCTCCAAAGCGATAACTCCAATAACGAAATTATACCTGAAAAGAAGTATTAGTATACACAGAAAAAAAAAGAAAAGAGTAACGAAATGACACACAAGCGATAAGCTCACAACTCTAGTGAAGACAAAAGTCACTGTATATTGGCGGAAGAATAGTTAGTAATGTAAAAAAAAAAAGCAGTATGAAAATTTAAAGGCTTACTGAAGCCTAATTTCTCGATTCAATAAAAAAAAATTATAGATTTTGATGATCTTGCGTCAGATTACAACTGATGACCAATCATCAGATAACATGCATTACTTTGAAATTGGCATCTGATATGCGTCAGATTAGATCTGACACAAGAATCGATCTAAGGCACAACATATATACCAATATATTGAATTATTATATTGTATGCTTGGAACAATAAGAGTTCAGAATATAAATTCATGATTAATAACTCTGATTCAGATAAAGTAATTGATAAAACAAGAAGGTGGCTTAAAATTAAAAAGAAGAAGAATAAACCTATTACTATAGAATGCTTTTACGATTTTGCTAGAAATGTTTATCTTAGAGAAAAAGGAGCTAAAAGAGATTATGAAGCTATTTGGCTACTAAATCTGTAGAAAATACAGAAAGTAAAAAAATTAAAAATATGTTTAATTATTATTACATGAAGATTTGAAAAAGAAAATATTTATCAAGTTAGGGACCTTTCGAAGATTATGAAAACCAACTTTATCATTTTCTTAATCACAATTTTAAATTATTTATGTGGGAAAGGGAACAGTTAGAATGAACTAATCTTGTCAAACATCATATACAAACTGTATATTTTTTATCAAAAAAAATCTATATTATTATTCTCTCATAGAAAAGAAGATTATTAAAAACAAAATTGGGTTAATAATAAAAAAAGAAGTTATGCTCCTTGTAAAAGCCCTTGGACATCCCCAGTTGTATTGATATCTAAAAAAAATAGTCAGACATGATTTTGTATTAACTATCACAAATTGAACTCAGTTACCCAAAAGATAATACTGCTTTCAAGACCTTTTCAATGCTTTAAATGATTCTTCTTGATATAGTTCTCTTGACTTGACTAGCTATTACTGACAAGTCAAAATAAAAGAAAAGGACAAAATAAAAATAGTCTTTACTACTCCTTTTGGAACTTATATATTTAATATTATGCCTTTCAGGCTAACAAATGTCCCAGCTATGTTCCAAAGGCTGATAGATTATCCTTTTCAGAATTTAAGTGGAAAGTGTGTTGTCATCTATCTAGATGACATTAATATATACTTAAAACTTTTGAAGAATATTTATATCTTTTAAAATTAGTATTTGAATAGCTAAAATTAGCTAGTCTTAAATTAAATTCATCTAAATATTATTTTAGTAAAAGAGAGTTAATATTTCTAGGACACATTATAAGCAAAAACAGTATAGCAACAAATTCTACAAATATAGAAGCTGTTAAAAATTTCTCTATTCCAAAAAACTTAAGATAGTTATGTGGCTTTTTAGGATTAACATCCTATTATAAGAAATTTATCAAAAAGTTTACCAACATAGCTGCTTCTCTTAATTACTTATTAATCAATTACCAATAGACCAAAGACCAACAAAGGGCTTTTAAAGATTTGAAAGAAAAACTAATTACTGCCCTGGTCCTAGCTTATTCTGATTTCAAGAAAACATTCATACTCTTTACCAACGTGTTTAATATAGCATTAGGTGCCATTTTATCTCAAAAGGACAAAAATAGATATAAGCAAGTAATTTTTTTACACTAGTTATAGCCTTACTTTAGCTGAAAAAAAACTATACAATAATAGAAAAAGAATGCTTAACCATAGTATGGGCCATAGAATATTTTTGTCTTTATCTTCATAGAAATTGGTTTATCCTATATACTGACTATTCTGCCTTAAAATATTTTTTCAAAATTAAGTTACTACAAAATCAGCTTGCTTATTAGATTATAACCCTAATGAAGTATTCATTTACTATTGTGTATAAACTAGTAAACACTACACCAATGTTAATAGCCTTACTCAAATTTAATAAATTGCTATTGCTAATATATTTTTGGGCCTAAACAATATTAGCTAACAAAATTTTGGAACCTGATAAAAACAAAAATTGTTTTTTTATATATATACTCCCCTTTTCTAAATCTGTTAATCCAGTTTAGGTTATGATGTTCTGGCATTTTTAATTAGACCTAATCTTTAAAACTTAAGATTTTAGTTCACTGTTAGAATTTATAAAATTTTAATTACCCAAATTAAACCATGTTAGTGAATATGGACTTGAACTTATATCTTTTATATTCTCAGTATCTTACTGGTACACTTGCCCTATTCCAATTTAACTCTAAAGAAATCTAAACAATCAAGCATAATTACTGTTGTTATTTAATTATAGAAGAACTTTTATATAAGAAGAATCTTCAAGATCCAACATAACCCTTAAGGGTAATAAAGAAAAGTGAGGTTAAAGTTATATTATTTAGCTTCTATAAAACTTACTTTCTGGACATTTAGATTTTCATTCAATCTATTAACAAATTGCTGGTCTCAAATGGATAAGAATATAAAAAAATACATTCGCACTTGTAATACGTGTTAGAAAAAAAAGAAATCTAATACCTGAGAACCTTTATACCCTATTAAAATAGTGAAGCTCTTCGACAAAACAGGAGATGATATTGTCGAATAGAGATTGTACCCGAGTAGACATTTTTATTATATAGTTATACTAACATGGCAATCCAAAAGAAATACTGTCAGATCAGTTCATCCACTTTTGTAACAAACTAATAGAGATTCTTTGAAAACTTCTAAAAATAACTCACTACACTTTTATAGCATATTACCCGCAGACCAATAGTATTATTGAATGTTTTAACTAAACCCTTTGCAGAATTTTGAACAAATATGCAAATCAATTTGAGCATGAATAAGATCAATATATTTCTCTGGCCCTTTTTGCCTACTGTACTACTTCACATAATATTACTGGCTATGAACCCTTTTTTTTAGTGTTTGGCTGAAGCCCTATTCTCTATATTGAAACAGAATTTACAACCCACCAGGATAAGCCCGGAACTGAAGAAGAATTGTAAGCCCAAAAATATCACTGGGCAGAAACTTTAATGAGCCAATTTGTAGAAGCATGACAATTAGCAACTAAAAAATAAAGATAAGCAAAAAATATATTATGACAAAAAAGAGAAAGTGGAATTATATGGGATTAGCGATCTAGTTCTCTTATATAGGATTGAACTTAAAATGTCATACAGCACTAAATTGAAACCCCAAAATCAGAGACCTTACTATATTCATTACATATTATCAAATAGACTATATAAATTATAAACAATGAATAATCATGTTCTCAAGAAGAAAGTATATGAAAACTGGTTATTGAAATACTATCTACATTTAGAAAAAACTTAAGCCTCCTTCAACCATGACAGCAATTACTTATATAAATTAATTAATAAAGATATGAGCAAGATCTCACCTTAATACAAAAAAAAAAAAATAATAAAATTAATTTGTCACAGTACCATACTATGCAGATTCAAATACTAGTCTAAATTGACCTTAGAATATATAAATAAATGACAAAAATACAAAAGTGGAAAATTAAAAAAAAAGAAGTCTAATTCTCAAATCTCTTGCCATATTCAGAAGACACTCACAACATTAAAAGCTCAAATGGTAAGAGCTAAGATTGAAGGTACTTACACTATTTCAGCCCAAACTGTTGTTTTTCTTATGACTAGCAATCGCAGCCTTTGTTTATTAATAAGACCAAATGTCCAAATGAGCAACAAAAGATGTACAAATAATTGAGAACCTTTGATGAAATGAGATAAACTCTCACTCCATAGAAACCCACATGGGAGAACCTGAGAAAAAAAATTATCCTCCGCATGTGCCTGTCTTTCACCAACACAGTTATCATTTTAGTCAGCTATTGCCTTACTACTCCATTGGAACTCTATTAAATGAAAAGGCCTAGAAGAAAGATGCCAAAAACTTTCTTAAATGATTGGACTCTAATAGATATCAAGACATTTTTACTATTGACCTTTGAACCTACTTCCTATACCAGGCCCATGGTCCTTTGTATCCTTTTGCTACTCAACAGATTACTCCTTATATTCTCTACCGGTTATGGAAAGAAGATTATAATGTGTTAAAAGCAGAAGCTCAAGCTTTAACTCAAATGGAATTAAATGAAGTCTTCTCACTTACAGATTTTGCAGGGGCTCAATCCCCAGGGAGGTATATGTTATGGATTAAAAATTTTGTATGATGAATTGTATAAATTTTTATTATTTTATTACTTTTATTTTATTTTACTTTATTTTATTTTCATGTATATAGTGTTGTTATGCATCAAATTCCATTTTGATAACAATGTCCAATACATTATCATATGTGAAATATATTAGTTATATCAATTAGAAAATTTCATAAGGCTAAAGAGGTGTAATTTATCTAATTTTCGCATTGACACTAAATTTTTAACACAGATGCTAAATTTTCAGTGTTGATGCCAAAATATTAACGTAAATGTCAAAATAGTCATGTTGATGCTAAATTTTTAGCGTAAACATTAAAGAAAATCAAAATATATAAAAATGGCAAAAAATAATAAAGCAGGACAAGTTTCACATCCCTTTTCATGGTATAAAAAAAAGTAACAAAGTAAATACTTATCCATTGTAATTTTGACTTTAACTTTAATAAACCTTATTATAACTCAATTCAATGGACTGAATTGACTCGTAACTTCAATTCGGCTTGTTAAGACTCAAAATTCTGTATAACAAAATCCTTTACATCTTCGGAACTTGGTCACATAACTGCTGTTTAAAAGAACTTTCAGTCAAGAAAAGTATTAGTTTGACGCGTGAAAATTGAGAAGCCCCACCACCATTGGCATCACCAGCATCAGCTAGTTTAATATATTGGATTTGAATATATCAGATGATAGAAGCCATCTATCATCATTAGCCCCTATATTCGTCGATATCATTTCTAAATTATCAGTTATTTATTTTCGGATATCATTTCCGAATCATTTTAATTTATACTTGTTCTTAAGATTGATTTATTTTAATTTTTGTATTCAAATTCGAACCACTTGACATCATTATCAATCAACCATAAGCTTTTGTTGATACACTGCCTTCACATATGCATTTTTAGTTATTATCATTCTTTAAATCATTTCGAGTTAACTTTCGTTCTAAAGATTGATTAGTTTTAAGACAAATTTATATTTCCCTACGTTTATATAAACCCCAATCCCGTATACGGTTGGAGTTCAAATTGGCACTATTTGTCTATAATCCTTTCCGCTCTCCCATTACAACCATTACAATAGGAAGAGTTTCGTATTATTGGCTGTTTAAATCAATTTAATTTTACATTATTTATACAGTTTAAAGTACTTTTTAAAAAAAATAATACTATGATGAATAAGTAAATAGAAAGTTTTATTAGGGTTGTAGGACTCCACTATTAAAAAGTATCTCCACCCCTTTTTGTTTTAGAGAAGTTAGCAAAATAGTGACTTCTTAAAGATAGATAGAATTAGG